GTCCTTCTCTTCGTTAAACTAGACATACCCAATTCTAGCAACCGTTCCTTATATGTTTTAGCCTCCAGGCCCCTAATCATCTTTGTTGCTCTTCTCTGTACTCTTTCTAGAGTCTCAACATCTTTTTTACATCGTGGTGACCAAAACTGGATGCAGTATTCCACGTGTGGCCTTACCAAGGCATTGAGGAGTGGTATTAATACTTCACGTGATCTTGATTCTATCCCTCTGTTAATGCAGCCTAGCACTGTGTTGGACTTTTTGGCAGCTGCCGCACACTGCTGGCTCATATTTAAGTGATTGTCTACTAGGACTCCGAGGTCCCTCTCACAGTTACTACTATTGAGCATGGTGCCACCTACGCTGTACTTGTGCATTTGGTTTTTCTTGCCTAAATGTAGAACCTTGCTTTTTTCACCATTGAATTTCATTTTGTTAGTTAGTGCCCAGTGTTAGTTTCCATCCATTGTTTCTTATCCTGCCTTCAGGTGCTTTGGAGAATAGCTTGACTCTCTCTTCTTTGTGGCAGCCCCTGAGAAATTGGAACACTGCTATCATGTCACCCCTTGTCCTTCTCTTCATTAAACTAGACATACCCAATTCCAACAACCGTTCTTTATATTTTTAGCCTCCAGTCCCCCAATCATCCCTCTCATGGTTACTACTACTGAGCAAAGTAGCACCTATACTGTACCTGTGCATTTGTTTTTTCTTTGCTTAAATGTAGAACCTTACTTTTTTCACCATTGAATTTCATTTTGTTAGATAGTGCCCAATGTTCAAGTCTGTCAAGATCCTTCTGTATCTTAACCCTATCTTCTGGAGTGTTGGCTATTCCTGCCAGCTTGGTGTCTTCTGCAAATTTGATGAGTTCCCCATCTATCCCCCTCATCCAAATCATTGATGAAGATGTTGAAGAGAACTGGGCCCAGAACAGAGCCCTGTGGCACCCCACTACACACTTCCCTCCATGTAGACGCGGTTCCATTGAGGACCACACTCTGAATACGGCCAGACAGACAGCTACGAATCCATCTGGTAGTGATGCTGTCTAATCCACATTTTCTGTCTTATCAAGTAGTAGCTTGTGGTCTACTTTATCAAATGCCTTACTGAAGTCTAAATAAATTATATCAACAGCATTCCTCTGGTCCACTTTTTTTGTCACCTGGTCAAAAAATGCAGTAAGATTTATCTGGCATGATCTGTTTTTGACAAATCTATGTTGGCTTTTGGTAATGACTTTGTTTGCCTCTAGGTGTTCACTGATTCATTATTTGATTATCTTTTCCAGAATCTTCCCAGGTATTGAGGTCAGGCTGATAGGTCTGTAGTTTCTTGAATCCATTTTTTTCCCTTTTTGAAGATGGGAACTACATCATTCTTTTCCAGTCCTCTGGTAGTTCCCCAGTGTTCCAGGATCTTTGAAAGATATAGTTCAGTGGTTCTGAGATCACATCTGCCAGTTCCTTCAGAACCTTGGGTTTGTCTATGGTGCACAGGTACTCACTTATCATTTTCTTGCCTATCTTAATTTGTGTTTCTAATCTGTTTTTTACGATACTGTTTTTTGGACTGTTGGACTGTTTTTTCCCTTTGTGTAAAGATGGATGCAAAAAATGAGTTAAGTAGTTCTGCTTTCTCCCTGTTGCTTGTCAACTTCTTGCCACTTTCTCCCACTAATGGACTAATCATTTCCTTTTTTCTTGTTTTTTACATGTTGAAAGAAGCTTTTTTTGTTATTTTTGACTTTTGTCGCAAGCCTTATTTCATTTTGAGCCTTAGCTTTCCTCACTTCCATCTTGTAGTCTTGGGCTATTTGCTGATATTCTGCTTTAGTTATGTGCCCCTCTTTCCACTTTTTTATATTTGTCCTTTTTGTCTTTCAATTTATCAGAGTTCTTTATGTAGCCATGCTGGTTTCTTTTGAGAGCTGTTATTTTTCTTCTTTGTTGGTATTGTGCTAGACTGGGCTTTTATAATCTCAGTTTTCAAAATTTCCCATACTTCTTGAGTTGTTTTCCCCTTGAGGATTCCATGGAATACTTCCCAAGCTCTAAGTTTATTGAAATTAGCTCTTTTAAAATCCAAGACTCTAATTTGACTATGTTCTATTGCTTGTGCTAGCATGTTGAATTCCAATATTGTATGATCAATGTTGCATGATAGTGTGTTGCAGTTGCCTGATAGGAACCTAGAAGGAAAAACTTACACAAAGTTTGAGGCATTAAAGATGTGCAGCCTAGAACAGTCTTCAGAAAAACACGACAGTCTTCTTTGAGTAGCTGAATAGCTGTTGTGCAGAAGATAAAGTGGGATTTTCAGAAGTGTTCCTGAAGACAAGAAATAATGGGTTTATGTTAGAGGAAAGTCAATTTTACTTGGACATCAGGAAAAATGTCCAAATAAGAGCTGTGCAAAGATGTGATATTTCCTTTTGCAAGGAAAAAGGAAAAACCAACAAAAGAGGTATAGACTCCACTATGAACAAATGATTAAGAAATGCACAGCTGTTTTCCCCAAAACAGATGAGTTTGAATCAAAGTGAAGATATGTTAGTGAGATATAAGTAGAATGAAGGAAACAAAAATATATAAACAATACAACTGTCCTATTAGGAAGCCAAAGATAGGTTGGGATATGTACATCAATAGCTTATTAGGTAAAAGGATGTGCTTTAATATTTAAGAACATGTGTTGCTAATTCTTCCACTGCACAAAAGATATCCGTTCTCTATTTAGCTACTTGGAAACACTGGATGGCATGTTAGAATCTGGTCTGGTTCAGATATGAAATTTTTCCCTGGTTTACTTTGAACATGGTATATTGCCTAAGCCTCACTGGCGGGGTCTACATATAACACTAAGCTATAAATCATGATTTACAAATTGTAGTAGAGGTTCACACAACAAACGAACACAAAAACAAGGAAAATAATATGGATCAGTGTCATGTGTGAACCTAGCTCATCCAGCAAAGTAGGAATAGCAACTATGGCTCACAGGCAACGCTAATCTCATTTCTATAGCCTTGAGCCCTCAATTGCAGCATGGAAATATAATGAGAAGTTGAATATATGTTTGTGAGAGAATGAAATACATGTGTTAAGCTGCTTCAAAGTTTATAATAATTTCCCAACTCCCAAATCCAACTGAAAAGAAAGGGGCTAAATTAATTTGCCCAAAGAGTTCATGTTTTACTCTGTGGGCACAAACATACACATCCTCTGTGAGCACTCAGACATGAGCTGAGCAGAAGATTCAGGGATGTGGCTTAGTCGGAGAAACAATTTAGTAACAATTTGATTGTAGATGCCTTGCCTCAAAGACATTGAAAGTTGAGTTTTATGTATAAACAGAGGATGCTCTGCCAATGAGCCTTTATGGAAGCAATGCCCTAAAACAGTATTTCTCAACTTTGGTGAGTTTAAGATGTATGAACTTCAACTCCCAGAATTCTGAAGTCAGCATGTTGGCTGAGGAATTCTGGGAGTTGAAGTCCACACATCTTAAGTTCACTGAGGTTGAAAAACATTGCAAAATTCATGTTACTTCCTTCTCCCATTTACAAAATGTTAAACTACCCACGACAGCGGTAATGTTGGTGTATCTGTATCATATTTCTAAGCATTTCTGCTTACATACTGAATTCATTAAGATGGGATCTAATAGCCCAACACGTATGTCATCCAGCTAGCCAATTCAATGTGCTTGCTTCCAGTTACTTGAAGAACATTGTGTTTTTGTCTCCTTTACACTGGAAATGGTTTTGGATGCTTGACTCTCTATATTGTGCTATGCTAAAAATCTAAGGCCGTATTATGGCTCAATGTGATTCATAGATTTACCATATTTGCAAAAATCCAAAGGATTGTGAGACAGTAGCAGAGAAATATAGAAAACACACCAGCTTTTGCTGTCTTTTAAAGTCCTTATTTTTAGTAGTCCAGAAATGGTAGGCTTAGCACAGTGGTTCTCAACCTGTTGGTTGGGACCTCATTTGGGGTCGAACGACCGTTTCACGGGGGTCACCAAACAATGCAGTCCGCCATTTTTTCTCCCTTTTCCTTTGCTGTGCTACTCCCTTTTATTCTATTGGCTTTTGAAAGCCAATAGAATAGACTTTCTTGAATAGAGTCTAATTCTATTGGCTTTCAAAAGCCAATAGGAATTGTCCAGGCTGTCTCTGCCCTGCTGAGCCCGCCAAAAGTCCCATTCTGCAAATAGTGCTGCACCAGTTGAGTAGTCCTCGACTTACGACCGATTGGGGAGTCGCGGCATTAAAAAGATTGAGAACCACTGGCCTAGCAAGTTAGAAATTTATCCATTGTGTTTGCAGAGTATTTGCTGAGTGAATAACCTAATTGTGGTTTATTTAAAAAAATTATGTGTAAGAAAATCATGCATGGACTCATCCACTCAATGTAAAGGCTGTTTTATACACACAGAGAATAGCTTCAGGACAGATAGGAGGGGAAAATCTAAAGCCAGCAAATCTCAGGGCACATTTGACAGTTAAATCAATAGTTAAACAATCACTGAGTTTCAAGGCCATGAGGCACTAGATCTGAAATGCCCTAGAACAGGAGGAGAAAAACACAGCAATATTCTGACATAGTGCTGTGTGTTCTTTTATACAGCTTCATTGCAATATCCAATCAAGATCCTTGCATAACTCTCCCACATCATGACTGTGAGGTTTTAACTGATTTAAGATTGGCAGTTCTGCTGTGGCAACTTGAAAATGCAGGAACATCTTGTTGTTGTCATGTTCTGCTGGTTTTCTTCTCTCTGGCACCCATCTCCCTATAATCCCATTTGACAAATGGTGCTCCACATCTTCCCACGAATAGTTTCCCAGATTTTTTGGCATGATGTTGCGGTCCCAATACATCTCCATGCATCTCAAAGGCAACATGGAAGACATGAGAAAACAAACTCGTTCCTCTTGATACCTCTGAAGGTGTAACTTTTTTTTTAAAAAAAAATTGTCAACTTTATTTTTAATTTTAAACAGTGAAATTAAGTTTATTTGGTTGTTGCCTGCTTTAATTCACAGAATATAGACTCCACAAAATATACAACTGCTTTTTATTAATAAGCTTCCCCCCCACCCCCAAATCTGTGGTTACAGTCAAGTCATATATGAGTTCTAGATGATACATATAGATAATACGTGTTATGTATTATTTTGGCTGGTCCTTTCCTGGTGGTCATCTGCATCTCAGAGGGTCCACCCTACCAGAAAAGCTGACCATAATTCTGTAATATAAATTGTGAAACTAAGAAAAAAAAACTATTGTGGCTTTTGGTTATGCTTATCTTCAGTCCAAGACTAAATGAATAATAAATGAATAACAAAGAATTTTAAGAAGTCTTTAGTTTTTGGTGTAAAAAACACAGCTATCCTTCTGAAAAACCAAAAATGAATGGTCCTCCCTTGGATAGACATGTCGGCTACTCCTGGCTCCACCTCCAGAAAACAGAGCTGAGGAGGGGTTGGCAATTCACCTTTTTGCCTTGCTGCTGTCATATATTTTAAAAGCCATCTAAAACAGTCTGTATTATAGTAAATATCTGTATAGTAAGCATAATCAGAATTTTAGAATCAGGAAAGAGTTCCTGGGAGGAGTAGACATCATGTAGCTATAATTATAAATAATCTTCAATTTTATTATATATATATTTTAAAAGAATCTTAGTTTAATGTGTTGTATTTGTGCAAAATTCAGAAGATCCTACATCTGGTATCGTTCTTTGACTTTCTCCCTAAAATTCTTTGCTGTTTCTCTCACAAATCCTTTTTTGTGGATTTGTCATTTGCTTTTTGAGACATACACAGAGATTGCATGCTTTCTGTGTTGCTCTCATACTTTTTTTTTGTAATACACATTCAGAGGACTGCACCTTTTCCTACTTTTTCTGCAGCTCTTAAGGATCCTTTCCATAAAGTATCTTATCTTATTTCTGTTTCTCATTCTGGACACCAGAATTATATGCTGAAACACTGGTGGACAATCCCACTCTTTGGAAATAACTCAGTGTCTATTTGTCATAGTAAACTTGACTATGTAACTATCATGGATGTAGATTTGTGACAAGAATCCTAAAACGTAATTTCATGTCTGCTAAATCCCAATAATGAAGAAACACACACATATTTACTGGATATTGTTTGATTGGATACATACAGCATCTAAGATGCCAACCAGCATTGGTCGATGTGCTCTAAATCTTAGCTAGTATTTTCCTTATTGATCGTGACTTCTCTTTTTTTACCATCTTTTTTAGTTTCCCAACTTGCTCCCTCACGCAGTAATTTAGCTAAACTGAAGATTTCAGTACCAGCAATGGAACTGCTCTGCTATATGAACATCTGAATCCCAAAGGTTTAGCCATCTGTCTTCAGACAACATCTCCCACTCCACACGTGCGCCTGTCCTGCTGAATCTCAAAGGATTAGCTAAGGGTTAGTGATGGGAAAGGGCACCGCATTATCTCAATACTTGAAAGGAAGGTGAGGTCTCTGTTACCTTCCCTATCCTTTTTCTCATCTGAGAACCTCTGTGAACAAAAAGCCACATTGTTTGGATGTTCTTCTTTTCCCAGATGTGAAAATACCCCAATTATTTTTTTTAAACTGGAGCAAGCATTAATGTACAGTGAGTAGCCCCCAAGACAAAACTTTGAATATCCACCATTTACCAAAATGTCAGCATATAAGTATTCAAAGCAAACAATCTTTTGGTCTTAGCTGATGCTTTACTCTGCCCCTGTTAGCGAAGTAGATGTTCTCCTCAGATTTTCTTTGACTTTAATAAATTCTGGTGCATTCTCTTCTTGCTTCTCATCTTCCCTTTCCAACTGATTAGAAAAAGGCAGAAGAAATAAACAGGTGATTTTTTTTTTGTAAATTTTTATAATACCAGCAACTTCTATGAGTTTTAGGAAATGGCAGACCAGGTGAAACTTTTAAGAGAAGATAATAGGCTATGTGATGTGTCACCCAGTGAGCTGTAGACAACTGGCCTTAAATGTCACCACCTGCATCCAGCCACTGAACCAAATTTGTTTTTGTTAATCACAGTTTAGAACCTAAAGGGTTATTTGAATTCTCAGCCCTGTATCAGGCAACTGAGAGCTCCTCAACCCCTCAGCTTTCATTTTCAGTCCAATCGATGCCTTAAGGTCACTTTTGTTTTCTTGAAGCAGTAATTGCTGGAAAATGGATGTCACAGTTCAAAATTTGCCTCTAATTGTACTCAATAATAAGATTCAGTAATAAACAATCCTCAGGTACCTGTGCATGTTTAAATCTCTTTCTTTAGAAAAATCAATTCTTTCCTAGTGTTTAATTCTTTTTTTTGGCCCAGACATATATTGAATTAACTTAATTTGGGTTTGCTGCATTGCGAAATGTTGTTTCTTTTTTCCCCTCTTTTCTCAGCAATCTCTTCTATGGCTCCTAGTCAAAGATATAATCTATCATCTATCTATCTATCTGTCTTATTGTCTGTCTCTCTTTCTCTCTATATATCATCACTCACTCACTCACTCACTCTATCATCTATCTCTATCATCTATCTATCTCTTGTTCCTTCCTTACTTCCTTTTCCTTTCTTTTTCTTTCTTTCTTTCTCTCTCTATATATCATCTATCTATCTATCTATCTATCTATCTATCTATCTATCTATCTATCTATCATCTCTCTATCATCTTTCTCTCCTATCATCTGTCTGTCTGTCTGTCTCTCTATCTATCTATATCATCTATCTATTTCTATCATTCTCTCTCTCTCTATATATAAAACTTCTCTCATCTGTCTATCATCTATCTATCATCTCTCCTTCCTTCTTTTTCTATCATCTATCTTTCTGTCTCTCTATATATCATCTCTCTCCTATCTATCTATCTATCTATCTATCTATCTATCTATCTATCTATCTATCTGTCTGTCTGTCTGTCTGTCTGTCTGTCTATCATCTCTATCATTTTTTCTCTATCATCTGTCTATCAATCTATCATCTCTCTCTATCATCTTTCTCTCCTATCGTCTGTCTGTCTGTCTATCTCTATCATCTATTTCTATCATTCTCTCTCTATATATACAGTATATATAATTTTTCTCATCTATATCTATCTGTCTATCATCTATCTCTATCATCTTCTTTCCTTCTTTCCTTCCTTCCTTTCCTTTTTCTTTCTTTCTTTTTCTTCCTATCATTGTCTTTCCGTCTCTATCTATCTATCTATCTATCTATCTATCTATCTATCTATCTATCTATCTATCTACCTACCTACCTACCTACCACCTACCTATCTTATCTATCATCTCGTTCTCTATCATCTTTCTCTATTGTTTGTCTGTCTGTCTATCTATCTATCATCTCTCCATCTCTCTCTATTTGTATCCCACCTTCATTATTTTTATAAATAACTCAAGATCGTGAACATATCCAGCATCTTCCTATATTTCTCATAATAACAACATGTGAGGTATTGGTTTGAGGAAAAAATGATTGGCTCAAACTCACCCAGGTGGCTTTCATGGCTAAGATGGAATTAGAACTCACAATCTTCTGGTGATTGGCCCAAAGTCACCCAGTCGGCTTTATGGCTAAGGTGGGACTAGAACTCATAATCCCTCCCATTCTAGCCTGGTGTCTTAACCACCAAATTACCAAATGGTCTCTCTCTATCCTCCTATCTGGGCAGATAACAGCTTTTAACTGACTAAAATTTAAACACATTGTTAAATATTAAACAATGTTAAACATTGTTAAATGTTACAAATTATAGGGAATAAGGACAAAGGGAAGAAAACCCCATTATGGGGGCATCTGATAGAGTTACAGTTGGTTTGTTTTGTGATAGGTTAATGATCTTGTGGGTTATGCAACCCCAGAATGGTCACTGTTGTTGTTTAAAAGGAATTGAAATTTGAAGCCTGGCCTGTTTAAGGTCAAAGAGAAGCTTAGACAAAGAATTTAGTATGTGGAAACTCATAGGAGCTTAATTTCATGCTTTTTGGCAATTGAAAGAGAAACTTTATTCTGACATATTATCTCTCTGGTTTTGTAGTTCCCAAGTTCTGAAGAGTCTTTACTTTGGCCTGTTTTGATGCTTTGCCTTCTGCTGTAATGAAGTAAAGACTCACATAAGTCCCTTATGCCCAAAGCCTCTCTCTGTATCAAATGGAAGTGACTGAAATTGTAGGTCGTAGGCTGTTGCACTGCCTGCTTTAAATAGACAATACTTTTTTCTTTTAACAAGTTTCCATGGGAGATCAGATAAATTTTATATTGCTGCTCTCTCCTTTCAGACTTGAATGCAGGTTTTAATATTAATATATTAATGAGAATCCTCCCTCAAAATTGTCAGTTTTGTGTCTGTTGGAAAAATCTCTGGGTCTTTTAAAAGAGTTTAACATAGTAGAATCCACAATTATTTCTACCTGATCAAGCTTCTGTTGCCTTTTCAACAGCTCCTGTTCAAATGGAGATTTTAATTTCTTTGCCTCTTCTTCTTCTTTCCTCTGTCTCAACAGCTGGTTTCTTCTACGATGTTCCAGGACTCTTTGCAGTTCTGGTTTACTCTCAACTCCCAATCCTCTAAAAGGCAAGGTTGATAGTGAAAGACTGAGATGGAACTTGAATGCCAAAAAGATAAATACTGCAATAAAATAACCTAGGAGGATAATTGTATGTATGTCTTTCCACACCCCCCAAATAAATTTAACTGACTTTCTAGATAGGTTTCTGCTCCTAACCCATCCCAGTCCTGCCACGTTATCTCGTGATGGAGAGATGTTCCTTGGAGAAATAAGCAAACTGCAGTGAGAATGTATGCCAAGAGTGCATACTTCACACCTCAGGTGCTCAGCTAAAACAAACAGATGCTGGAGATGGATGATCATTTTAGTGACAACCATAAAGGCATCATTTCATACTGCATAAGAGAACACATGGGAAACTATTTGATTGAGAAAACCAAATGGGTAGACAAAATGTGGTAAATGTTGATACAGGCCTCTCAAGCTGGGTGCCACTCAACATTCTACTGATGATCTTTCAGAATGCTAATAGTGCTATGACACTGCTAAATAAAAGCTTTCCAGATGGTTGCTAATGCCAGAAAAAAAAATCGGAAGCTGCAAAAATAGAATTATGGTGGGAGTATGGAATATAAGGAGCATGAACACGGGAAAGCTCAATACTCTGTCTACATCCTCTTTCTTGGTATCATGCTCCATGTCACCCTTGGCAGGTCAATTTTTTATGATACTCCAGGCAAAAAGTAAAAAAGGAAGTGAACAGAAAAACATAAACAATTGACTATAAAGAAGACCCAAGAAATGACAACAAGTATAACAACTAGGCTTAGAATTGACAATGAGGATATTAAAGTGGTGGATAGCTTGTCCATTTAAGATCAACAATCAACAGTAAAATCAAGAAATACATCACAGACTAGGACTTGTAGAGTAGCCATGAAGTCCTTGCAAATTATTCAGATATAGGGCTGTATATCCATGAGAGTGTCATGGATATTCAAGAAAACAACCAAATGGATCAATGTCTGTGGTGATTCTCAGTCATTCAGGTCATAGTTGTCTCAAAAGTACTTTTTCAAAAAAACAACTGAACTGTTTTTCCAAATCAATCCGGAGTTCTCACTTGAGAAACAAATAACCAGGGTCAAATAATCATATTTTGGACAGATTATGAAAAGATCCAGCAGCAAAATGGAGGAATTACAAAGCAATGAGTATAGAACTGAAAGTTCTGAATAGGCCAAGTTGAGGGCAGGTCATTCTAGAGAAAGTTTGTCTATGTGTAGAAAGTTTATGTGTAGAGAAAAATCATCTATTTTTCTAAGAATTGACAGTAGAATCCAATGTGAAAGTTGAGGTTCAATGGAACTTCCAGGAAAACAAATATCATAATGTTTAAAGTCAAAGGACACACATGAAAAACTGCTAGGATAAATTAACAAACTTCTGGAGAACACAAAGTTTACTCAGGATGTTTTATCAAAAGAGCATTTCTTTTCATCTTCCTAAAACTGTTTCATTTACCCATTTTTCCATCCACTTATGGTGGAGTAGAAGAAATCTGAAGCCTTGAATTTCCAAATGTCTCCAGACACTTAAGCTTGATAATTAATTGCAAACTGCATCATCAAAATTGGTATCAGAGCAGTAGAAGAAAATGTGAATTTGTAAATTAACATGTTACTTTTATTAAATCCCACTTTCTCCTTAAAAGCGAAACAAAATAAAATATGAAACTAAACACAAATAAATAAAAATGCATAGTGGCCCACCAATTTGATTAAGGTATAGAATTGATAATATTGCCTGATCCAGTGATAATTAAAGGTTTGCTCTTATCTTCTTCCTTCCTTAAAGGATATTAAATCTTCTGCAAATTCACATAATGTGCAACAGGAGTTTTCACATTTTTTCAAGCAGCAGAACCTTTTTTTAAAAAAATCTTGGAATTTTTGAACAAATGGCAAATCTCTAGGAAAAGATGCATGGCAATAAAATGAAATTTGTACTAACTGCCACTGACCTTACAAAAAGACCATTAGAATTCACTGCCTAGATTGTGCTCCTGCTTTCTTCACCTGAAACCTTCTATCTGATTTTGCTTTGGATTAGGGCAGGGGTCTTCAAACCTGGCCCTTTTATGACTTGAGGACTTCAACTCCCAGAATTCCTCAGCCAGCGTGCCTGGCTGAGGAATTCTGGGAGTTGAAGTCCACAAGTCATAAAAGGGCCAAGTTTGAAAACTCCTGGATTAGGGAGAGAAGGCTGGGCTGGGGTAGGATGACTTTGTAGGAAGCATAGCAAAATATATTTTTTTCTCACATAAGGTATTCCCCCCCCCTTACTCTTTCATGGAACCCCATCAAGTTCCCATGAAACTTTATTTATTCATTAAATTTATTTGCCACCCATCTCATATATGACTCCGGGTGGCTTACAGCATTAAAGCATTAAAATCCTAACAGATAAATATTTCCAAAACAATAAAATGGAAATCACAATCAAAACAGAATTAAAGAACTCACAAGAGTTCTATAGAAGAGAATATGAAAAACCCTACTTTAGACCATTTTGAGTCAGATCAAAACACTAGACGAGGCAAGACTGACTTGGTAAAATATATCAAGCAGGGACCCACAGTAATATTCCATAGACAGAAAGCAAGGACAACTGAAGCTTCACATAATACGTTTTGAAAGGCCAATGTTAGGTTTCAGAAAACAGTAAATAGGAAATGCTTTGTTCATGATGAAAACTCATGTTTCTAGCTTTCTAACTAGTAAAAACTAGCCTTTGAGGTAGTGTGAAGCAAAGAAGTCTTCAGTCTGCTGCCTACCAGGATTCCAACATCATTTAGGAACTAGCCTCTGAAGAGTTGAATTTTTGACTTCTCCATCTTACTCTACATTAGGAATACTGTCCTTGAATGTTGACCTAATTACGTTGTCTGGTCTATGGTTTAGGCAGTTATGCTTGATCCTTGGACTGTCTTATGATCATGTTACATTAGAACAGTGTTTCTCACCCTTGGCAACTTTAAAATGTGTGTCCCAGAATTCCCTAGATGGCTGAAGAATTCTGGAAGCTGAAGTCCGCACATCTTAAAAGTTGCCAAGTTTGAGAAACTCTGTATTAGACTATGGATTCCAGCACACTACTTTGCACATGCCCAAAACATGTGTGCTTAACACAGTGGTTCTCAACCTGTGGGACGGGACCCCATTTGGGGTTGAACAACCATTTCATGGGAGTCGCCAAACAACGCAGTCCGCCATTTTTCCCCCCTTTTCCTTAGCTGTGCTACTCCCTTTTATTCTATTGGCTTTTGAAAGCCAATAGAATAGACTCTCTTGAATAGAGTCTAATTCTATTGGCTTTCAAAAGCCAATAGGAATTGTCCAGGCTGTCTCTGCCCTGCTGAGCCCGCCAAAAGTCCCATTCTGCAAACGGTGCTGCACCAGTTGAGTAGTCCTCGACTTATGACCGGTTGGGGGTCGCGGCATTAAAAAGGTTGAGAACCACTGGCTTAACACAATCTGTGCTTAACCAATTGTTACATCATCCTCTGACTGAATTGTTATTAATCTTGATTAATGTTTGGGTCTATTGCTTTACAGGAGCTGTAATCTCAGTTGCATTATTTGTTTTTATACTGTAGCTTGGCTAAAATTTCATGTAAAGTAGAGCACCTAAGCATTTCTAATAAACCGATATTTTGAAATAAGGTTGCTAAAGGTCTGAGCACTTATTCATGTGAAAGAATGAAAACTTGGCAGGGTGGAGTTTCCTTGTTTCCATTTCAGGCAAATGCATAACCTGCTGGATGTTTATGTATAAACACAACCTGCAAAAGTGCAGGAGAAACCCAGGCAGAAAAGAAAGTACTTAGGTTTCAAAAATATATTAAGTTTCTTAGAATTAATTAAAAGAAACAGACAAAAAAGCTTCTCTTTTCTTCCTTTTTTCCAGCAGGGGGAGTAATTTAACCAACAATCTTATATTGGAATTTAGCATCAGAGGTTCTGGTGTGGTTTCACCTGAGAAGATCTCAACCTTCACTACTGTATTTGCTAGAAGTGCAGTGCTTAATGGGCTTTCCCATTGCTGGTTTTAGTCATTTGGGTCAGATGAAAAAATTGGTCTTCTTAACTGGTTTCCATATTATGAGGGTCAATCTTGCAAACTGGACAACTAAGACAAACTGTATGTTGTGTCCTATGTGGTACATTTCACTATCAACTGCTGGGTTAACTCCTTCTATCTTCTCAAGCTGAGTGCTTGATGATCTGGTGGATAGCCAAAGAGGGATTCTACTTATAATTCCACTGCCAACACTTTAAAAAACCTTTTATAGATCAATCTAGGCATGTGCAGGATAGATTTCGGAAACCCCATCTCTAATTTTCCCAATTACAATGTCCCTTCAATGCACAAGGAGCTGTAACAAACTAGTTGAATTCTTTGAAAATATCAACCTATTATTCTCAAAGGACAATTTCCCGTGGGTTACATATAACCTGCAGGGAGCCTAGTGGAACTAAATAGGACAAGAACTTTCTTATGGAGCACCTGCTTTACGGAGTTCCTTTCTTGCAAAATGCAGTCTAATCCCTTCCTGGCTGAACTCAAGAGAAGGCTGAAGGCTCAATATTACACTCAAGCCTTCTTTCCTTAGGATTTTTGTCTTTTGATACAGATGTTTCACATTTCATACTGTAACATGATTTTGAGTATTGAGCTAATTTATGGATTTTATACTGCAAAGCTTAAGATGTTGTCAAATTTTACTGATGCTCTTTTTGATTTATTCTGCTTACCAGTTCGGTTGGTTAATTAAAAGTGGATGGCTTATAAATATGGCAAATAAATAAACAAACGTACCGTTAATTATTAAAGTTAAGCAAGCAGTAAACAAACAGAGGGGTTCAGATATTGTATGCTGCCCAGAGTCACTTTTTTTGTGAGATAGGCAACCATATCCTATCATGTCTCTCCTAAGTCTTCTTTTCATCAGACTGAATAGCCCAAATTCTTCAGCCTATATTTATAGTGCACAATGTGCTTCATGCATTCTTATTTCCCAATGTTGTATCTAGATTTTGTATACTTTTATGTTTGTCTTTCAAAATGCTGTAAGCTGCCTTCTTGAAGATGTGGTAAATATTAAAATAATTGTTGTTAATATACAACTGTTATTAAGAAGATGTAGATCAGCAGCCCTCCTTCTAATGTCAAAGTTTTGAGATTTTATTTTTTAATCAAACTCCCATCACATCAGCCTCCTTTATTAGGTCTGAATGACTCACTCCATCTCTTACCTGTCTACTTTTTGTGAAGAAAATTTGTGTTTCATGAAACAAATAATGCTAGCGGATATGGCTGAGGAACCAACAGGATATTGGCCCAATCTTTTGTCTCTTTTCATCTAGATAGCTCATGATCAGTCCATCATTTGCCTTTCATCTACAGATACACAGTATGTACCTTTCTATGAGGCTTTGGGAAATCTCAGCTCATCTTTGGTATTATTTGATGCTGCAGGGAACCAAAGGAGGACAAAATGTTATCTGAATCATGAGAGAACTTTTTTTTCCAAGACCAATAGAACTAAAAAAATATGTATGACTTTTAATTTTTAAAAAACTTCTTCAAAGTTCTATGTGGAACTAGACAATATCATCCAGATATATGGTTTGCACAAATGTTGACATATGCATCTTATACTGCAACAAATGCTGTGTTGGCACAAAAACCCTCCGCCTTTCCATGATTAGCTGAATTATGCTTTTCTCAATCCAATTTTCGAGGTTCACAAAAGGGCCTGGAGGCTAAATCGTATGAGGAACAGTTGAGGGATCTAAGTTTCTCTAGCCTATCAAAAAGAAGGATTGGGGAGGGGGGGGGAGACATGATAGTTGTGTTTCGGTACTTGAGGGGCCGTCACAAAGAAGAGGGATTGATTTATTCTCCAAAGCACCAAAGGGCAGGACAGGAAGTAGTGGGTGGAAACTTGTCAGAGAGAGATACAACCTAGAAGTAAGGAAAAATTTTGTGACAGTGAGAGCAATCAAACAAAGGAATATCTTGCCTCCTGAGGTTGTGGGTCCTCCATCACGGGAGGTTTTCCAAATAGACTGGACAACCATTTGACTGGGATGGTATAAGACTCCTGCCTTGAGCAGGGGGATTGGACTAGATCTCCAAGGTCCCTTCCAGTTCCATGATTCTTTGATTCAAACCTTACATATTAGACTATTAAATATATGTGATCAGCTTAGTATTAATTTTTAGACACCATGTAGATGGATGTTCTGCAGGACAATCTATCACCAATATGGTCCTTCAGGTCTTCCAAAAGTGTTTCCATCACTGCTTTAATTGAGTCCATCCGCCCTTGCTGAGAAGATAGCTGCAGACCTCTTGCATCCTAGACATAAATTGTTTCAACTCCTCCCATTGGGACGGCACTATAGGGCATTGCAGGACAAAATAACTAGACACTGGGACAGTTGTTTTTCCTTGTGCCATCACTTTGCTGAACATCTAATTCTCATAGTGCCATCTAATGTATATGTGTATTTACCCATGTAGTATGACCATAGTATTATTATTTATCCTTATTATTTTCTTTACTCCCCCCTCTTATTGGTATGATTATGATTATTCTGTTGTTTTGCACATATACCGAGAGCTTCTGCACTGGAGACAAATTACTTGTGTATCTAATCACACTTGGTCAAATAAAGTATTTGTGTTCAAGTTTCGAACTCAGTTTGCTGCCAGTTGTTTTCTTCAAAGTACTATAATCTGAGCCTGGACATTGTCTCAAGCGAAAATTTGAGGTTGACTTGTTCTATGATGCATTGGGTTGATTTCTTTTGGCTCCTCCAGTACACTCCGGGGTTATCTCCAACATCAAAGTATTGATAAAAATGTCAATATTCTATCCCATTTCTTCAAAATCCAACATTCTTTGCCGTAAAACCTCACAGACAAAACCACAGATGTCATAGTACACATAACACACACCCCTCTCCAACCCTCCTGAGGAAGCCTATGACCCCAACCCTCTGCTCACCTTCTGTGATTCATAAGTAGTTCCCGGTGAAGTTCTTGGTGGCTTTTCGAGGCTCTTACAGGATTGAGCAGTTTTTTAGGTTTGATAAGATCAGGATTTCCATCAAGATAATCAGGATGAGTCATGATACTCCCAATGTCAGGCCGCTCTGATTGCATGTCTGAATACATAGATGCTGGGGGAGGGAGAGACATCAGACAAGGCATTACAATAACTGAAAAAAAAAATAAATTTCAGAAATCAGGCATACAGTATATCAAACCCAAAGCCTTTAGATTTTAGAATCATAGTTTTTATCTGGGTGATTCTTCTCTCTAAACAAAGTTACCAATTTACATTAGAAATCTTACAAGACATTCTATTTTTTAATTATTTAGTCTTGGAAGATTAAGTAAAATATCATGTGAACTCCTGTGCTTTGGATTCATATAGATGGTAGATGTATAGTGACACGACTACCACTACTACTACTACTATTACTACGACTATGACTACAACTACGACTATGAGTACTACTACTACTACTACTACTATTACTACTACTACTACTACTAGAATTTTGGTGAGGCAATCACTATTAGTTTCTCTCACTTTCTATTTTTTGCTAATATTTTAGCAAAATATTGCCTAAACTCTTTCATGTAAATAGTCAGAAAATGAATGATAACAATAATTCTAAATTGAATTATAATTCTTTGGTTAAAAAAAACATGTTTGGATTTGCATCCTTTCAAATGTATGCTAAGCAAATTTCTCCCTATCCCTAGCCAGTTCAGAGCCAAATTTACCTGCAAATGTCTTCTTGAGGCAGATTCTGACTAGCTCAGGATCATTATACTTAAATGTTAGTAGGCTCATCAAAATAGTTTCCTACAACCTGATGACCTCGTCGTAAGTTAGAACGACAAGATATAGAGTTGTCAACCAGCATGACCAATAATTGGTATGCTCACCTATTTATTTGTTTGTCTTACACATGAGATTTATGTCGTAAGATTTAAAGCCCATCTTTCCTCTGAGAGTTTATACATAAATTGAACAAACAAGAGCCAGTAAAAAAAAAAATGTTCTGGCCCGAGGCATGTTGAAAAATAAATTCCTTTTTCAAGAGTTCATCTGAAATGCCTGTGATCAAGCTCACAACCCCCACAAACATTTTTAATGGCACGTGGTTTCCTCTCCCTCTTCACTGCCTGTCCTCCTCATTCATTGGTCTGCCGTGTTTCCCATATCAGTAACCACATGGGGTGGACCAGACTCTGCAAGGCAGTAACTCAGCCAATCTATGGCTGAAAGTGGACATGGATCTGAATCTTCCTGGACTCAGTCTAAAAGCTTGAATTGTCTATCACCTGAAGGAAACATGCTGGAAAAAATGTACTTCAGATGACCATAGATATCTGCTTGGGGTGGCCATGGTATGACTGGGAGGCATTCCATAGAGGGGACACAACGTCCGTCTCTCTCTCTCTCTCTCTCTCTCTCTCTCTCTCTCTCTCTCACACACACACACACACACACACCATTGGATCCCTTTCCATGATGCTCTTCTACCTCTCCCTTCCTGACTGCTGGACTTGTTCTACTTTTTACCAAACATGTCCAAAGTCCAACAGGGAGCTGAAAGGGAGAAGGGCACATTAAGTAAATTAGAGAAAAACAGAAAACATTCATATTTTTTTTTCTTTTGTAAAAAGACACAAGTGACTGAATTCATAGTACTACTGGGGTTCCCTCCTGCAAGGTACAATGACAGGTCTCTGATGGCGAATGGAAAAAGACCCAAGCAAAGCCAATCGCCATGGATTACATCACTATAATTGGGGTGAAAAGTTCAGTGCTACAATTAAGCAGCACAGAAGGGATAAGGGGTCTTGTGACTCCTTTCACCAAGTCCAAGTGGGTTTTATTACAATTTTTGTCGAAGGAAATGGCTAACAGTGTGGACGGTGTGCTTATCTCACTCCTTTTCTTTTGCAAGAAAGATTTTCTTGTTATGCTTTGAAATGATGCAGACAATTTCTGTAACTTGGAAAGCTCAACATGGTTTGGGAGTCCACAAACTATAGGGGTGGGTAGCTGAGACTAATATAACCCCTGGAGAGTTACAGCGCTAAGACTGAAGAAAAGTTTACAGTAAACCCCTTGTGCTGCAAATATTTTGCATTAAATCCCTTGTGCTGCAAATACTTGGGAATAGCACTGGGGTCTCTAGTTTTAGAATGATTAAAATCAGAATTTTGCCTAGTAAAAACAAGCCCATGAATAAAACACAGGAAGCAGGGAGGTTGTCCTGTGTGTTACCAATTTAAGATTTAGAAATGTTTGCCTAAGGAAAATGTTTATTTGCTTCTTCAGGCAGATGGTTATTTTTAAGATGTAGCAATACCTGACATTTTAAAGACCATGAATTTGGGACACAGGAATGGGAGAAGATGTTTGCAAGGATAACATGGAGGAGACAAGATTCATTATACTAATATGATTATGTAATACCCAGGCTCAAGTCAATAGAAAGGTGAAAAAAAGCAAAACTGAATGTCCCAAAGATGCTTTTTCAGAAGGCAACTGGACTTATTTTTCTTTGAAGATATTTCGCTTCTTATCCAAGAAGCTTCTTCAGCTCTGACTGGATGGTGGGGAAAGGAAGAATTTATACTCCTTGCAGACAGATTGACATTTGCATTCTTTTAGAGAGTCATTGAGGCCACCTTCTTGGAATTGCTGAAAGAACTGTGTTGTAGACTGGAGATAGATGATGTTGTATGCCTCCCCCTCTGGTGAGAGAGGGCTGTTCAATTTTGACATAGATGGCCTCTTTCAAACCAGTGGTCCAAAATGTGGACTTTGCTATCTTCGAAAGAGTGGCCTTTCTCTTTCAAATGCAGATGGAAAACTGAATGTCATTTATTACATATATCAAATAAATGACCATTGTGGTATGTGGCATAAGAACCCACAGTTCATAGCAAAAGCAGATGATGAAATGCTGCTACCTCAATCTGATGATTTTAGGCAAAAACATCAGAACATGAGCCAAGGCCCTTGGGGAAATATTGACAGCAATGCAAATAAGATAATCATTATATGCAAAGACCAGAGTATATCAAAATACTATTAAAATGCTATTAACAGATTGAAAAGGGACAGAATTTTGCTAAAATTCCTTGAATGATTTCTTGAAAGACTGACTGGATCATAGAAAGTTCACTGGGACTAAAGTGTATACTCCTACAACAAGTTGAGCAAGTATTCAACAAATATTTACTCTTGAATTAAAGGTGGGGCAACACAGCCTTTTGCTGGTATGTACCTGCTCTCTCTCAAAGTTCATGCATCTCACTGTTCTCTTTAAAAACAATTTCTCAAGACAATTCATGTGTGATAGTGGCGCACTGGTTAGAATACAGTATTGCAGGCTAACTCAGCCCACAGTCTGAAGTTCAATCCTGATGGGCTCAAGCTTGATTCAGCCTTCCATCCTTCCAAGGTTAGTAAAATGAGGACCCAGATTGTTGGGGACAATAGGCTGACTCTGCAAACCACTTAGAGGGGGCTGTAAAGCACTAAGTGCTATTGCTATTTCTCCAAAGCAGCACACTAAAGCAATGAAGCCCTCCAGCTTTCACTGTTAGAAATTTGGTTGAAAATTCAAAGATCAGCGTTTTGAAACTGGTATCTCACAGCATATGTCCTTAATCCTAATTCTGGGTTTCTCCAAACATTCTGTGAGAAGTAGAACAGAATGCTGCATCAACAATCATATGTAGTATACTCTATATTAAAGTATGTTTGTTCTATTTTACAGTATGTTAGGGCTATTTGGCAATGTATAAACTTGATGATGATAGGTGACAGACTTGACAAACAGACTGAAAAATCAACTGTCTCTGCTAGACAACATATAGGTGCATGAATCAATTGACCTTATGATGCATCCTTAGTTGGCTTACCAGTTCATTAGGATATGGGAAAGCTAGGGAACTGGATGACTGGGAGCTCCCTATAAGAAAGATTTAAAATCACAATTGCAAAGAATTGATGTGAAGAAAACAAACAAAAAAAAAAACTAGTAAAGATCCAAACACAAAAGAGGACTCATACAGGAAATGAGATAGTTTGGAATTGTAGAGTGGTGTCAAGGAATGGAAAGTTGAGAATAAACTGAGTTTAGCCAAGGATGCTAAGAACTAAAAAGATATCTTCATATATGTTCAAAATAAAAATAAAACCTGCAGCTCAACGAATATGGCAAAATGGCAAAAGATAGAACTACTTAACCCATAGTTTGGGTAAGTCTTCTCCGAGAAGAGATCCCCTTAATCAACTATGGAGTGCTGGAAGAATGGATAGGATTGAAACTTGAGACTTATAGAAATATGGTCTGGGATGCTTATTAACCTGAATGAGTTTAATTCTCTGGGCCAGTTAAAATGTATCCCAGGATACTGAAGGAACTTGCTGATGGAATGGATGAACTTTATCATACAAGAATCCTGTTGATTGGATGATTGAAATCTGGAAAGATTCTATAGTTTTTTACAGGAAGTTTTACAGAATTGGCAACTCAGTTGTTAACTGATGGTTAGGTGAAAATCATCACAATGACTGTGCTTACGATTTAACTTCAGCTTTCCTTTGCTTTGCAGCATCACAAGTATAGGACCCCAAAAGCTGGGCAAGCCCACATAGTAGAGAAGGGTTGTGGAACTCATATCTAGAGGAAACCAGGTAAAAGGATAAATCTTATAGCCCTTTTCCCACACTCCCCTGCCCTTTGGAATGCTGACCCAGGTGCTGAGATAATTAGAAAAAAAAAAAGAATTGACATTTGTATTTACATTCATTGAAGGGAAAGAGATTGCAAGAGAGTAAGTAGACATGCAGTGGGGAAATATGCATGAAAGGCAATGCAACAGCACCGGCTGTTTGCCTAAGGTGCTTGCTACCAGCCTCTTAGGAGGCGAACAAAAGCCTTTAGTGTGAAACTGTTTAGGGTCATGTCAGTTTCAGCCAGCAGCTTCTTAGCACCCAGCTTCTAATCAATTAAGATCGCAGAGTTCAGGTAGTTAACTTTTCTTAACATGACGTGGAAAAAAACAGCTCAGGAAGAAATCAGCAATCTCTTTGCTCTGTGAGGAGGCAAAAAAGGGGGAAAATATATTTGGGCCTGGT